TCTTTGGTAACGTTCGAAGTTTCTTGATGCAGGCGTTCGTCCTCTACTGTATCGGCTGGAGTCATAAGAATTGCCGTAATTTCCAAGTTGCATCAGAGTGGTCTCTTTTCTTACTACTTCCGTGAGCAGATCAACTAAGTGACTAGGAGTGAGGTTCATTTGACCTTCTGTTACGTCGTAGATTTTTCGACTGAACAAACGTGGGAGCTTGTTGTACAGGAGGGCCCCTAATCCGTATTCTGATGTATCTGGGGTGATGAAGTTATACTATCGAACAAGACGCAACATCTTCAGGTAGAAATCTTGCAGCTGACTCCCTTTCCTGGTCGCATTGTGGGAGATTTGCTAGCTCGGTGTAAATTATGTGGCGAAGAACTTGTGGGTTATTGTAAGTTTGAAATAAGATGTCGACTGCTATGTTATAGTCTTCTGACGTTATTGGTATTCCTTCAATGCATTCTAAGGCTCGACCTTTCAAACAACTCTTAAGAATTGAAAACTTTTCTGCTCCAGAGATAGTCATTTTGGAGTGCACTAAGGCGTCATATTATGCCCAAAATGTCGGGAATTCGAGCAAGCCCCTGTGAAAGTGGGCAGTCTAATTCTGGAGGAAAGGGCTGGGTCGAACAGATTCATCTGTGAGGATCTGAGGACACTTTGATGTTGGCGACCCGCATTACCATGATGGTTGCAAGTGCACTCATGTGATGTAGAGATGTTTGATTCCATGGATTCCTGGATTCTTGTTTTGGCGTTGGAGGCATCTCTTCTCCTGTCTTCGTCATATTGCTGGTCTTTGGTTGATCCGTGGTCGCCATGTTGTAGCTTGTATTGCACGTCGGGTAGCATAGCTTTTTTATTGTCGTGACATAGGGAAAACAACCGCTAACTTCGTGAACTGACCTCACTTTGTCATGAGTGGGGCTTGTATATCACAGTATATGTAGTGACATGAGCTTATGGGCGAAAACACACCCGGACGGGCCCCATTGGGGTGCCTGCTGGAAAAATGATAACTTGTCTAATCTGCTAAATCCACGTGTCTCCTTGTCTGAGCAAGGGAAAGAAAATGTTAGAAGGCCACATAGGAAATCCCAAGATGCCTTTGCTACGATGCAACCTGGCCCAACTTAACGTTTTTGATATAAGATAAGGAGGTGGTACCCACCAGCAGGAATCTGACTTCCAAAAGCGAGACGACTCTGAAGGAAAGGGTCGATGCCGCTAGCTGCCTCGCAGGCGAATCAAGAAACAAATCTTTCGCATTTTGTCGACTTGGCTGTAGCAAAGAAGTCTACTTGGAAATCTCTTCAGATCTCCTGAGCTCTGCATCCACGAGGTCCGCAATGGACCAATCATCCAAAACTAAAAATTAGAAGTTCGCCGTTAAAAGGGCCCTAGGAATCCACACGAAGTCTATGTTAGCGTGCAGGGCATTGCAGAAATCCCAGATCCGAAGAGCTAGACTCTGTAAATCCGCATTGAGATCCCTTTGTTGAGAATGCGTACTGCGCACTGGCTATCCGAGTACCAGATGCAGTTTTGGAGACCTAAAAGCCTGCCGAAGGCTTTTGCGCTGGCTAAAATAGCAAACACTTCTCTCGCCGTAGACGATTCTCCTTGTAGCCTCAAGTGGCTGCTGTTGTGGTTTCGAAACGTGCTCCACGTACAAAATCGCGCCTGACCCGGAGTCCGAGGCGTCTGAAAACACCGTTACGGTGGGCTCAAGGGTATCCAGGGTATCTGTATGGAAATTTCCGATAAGGAATAGTCAAACTTCTTCCGGCTAGCAAACACACTTTTCTCTTCGACTGATAAATTCCAACGAAACGACAAGGCCGTACTTCTGGATTGCTTAGCTGCTACTTCGGTCATCATGTGACGCCATCTCTTATTCAAATCTGGAGGAATTATCAGATGCAATGACGCAATATAGCCTAACCGCTTCAATCAGTCTAACAGAGACGAGCCTCTACTGCCCCACAGCTGATGAAAGAGTGCTCTGATCTTTTCTTTTCTTTCAGACGTGATCCAACTTACGTTTACAAATCAAACACGTGTCCCAACCACGAAATGCTTTGGTCCGGGTCCGACAGCGTTCGCCATGGTGACACCTGCTAACTTCAAATCTTCTCTAACAATCCTCACGGATTCTTCGCATAGCTGTGCGGAACTTGCCCAAATGAGGCCATCATCTAAATACAAGGCTACTTCAATACCTGCCTCTCTCCATTTCTTTAGGAGGGGTCTGAATAGTTTAGTGAAGATGAATGGCGCCGGGCTTAAATCGAAAGGCAGGTCTAAAAATTTGTAAGACTTTTCCCCGCCACTTAAACCAAGAAAACTGGTGAAATTGGGATGCATTTTCACATGATGGTAACCCGACTTAAAGTCGAACGAGACCATGTACCCTCCCTTTAGGCACAAGAGGTAAGACTTTACCTACGTCCTCGTATTTAACCTTGGATCTGAACACTCTTTTGTTCAAAACTGACAAATCGAGTATGAGCCTTCACTTCTTACTTTCAGCCACTGAAAGCGGATTTATTCTTAGCACGACTGGGTCCTGGACTTCTTCTACAGCTTGGCTTCTCATTAGCTTACTGATGACCAGATCTACAAAATCAGCATATTGATATGCAGAAGCTGAGTTACCTCTAAAAAATCCTATTCTGGCTGCTCCAAGCAATTTCGGAGAAAACCATGCAGGAGGACTGACCTCGCGCCAAACAAAAACTCACCTCCCCTGCTCGTTATTGCATTGTGCACGCAGGTGTCCTAATTTGCCATACTCGTAGCACATAGGCCTGGAAATTTTGGGTGGAAAGCCGCCGCATATCTCTGGTTCTTGTAAGATGATGGTCCGCAAGGGGGTCTGAGGAGTGAGGGCCCAGGTCGCTCCTCCTTGTCGAAAGGGCTGGAAACCCCCTTACCTGTATGGGAACTAAGGGCCGCTCCAAGCGGCTTTCTTGGGTGGTTCCTTGGGTTCCTCCTTGGATCTCTCCTCGAGAAATGCAGCCACAGAGTTCGTCACCGCCAACTGCTGCGCTTCCACTTGCTGAATTAAAAATTACCAGACTCGCGGATCCTTGTCCGCTACTATCAGAAGTTTTCTCTGTGTAACGGCCGTGATGGTCTTCTTTAGATTGTCCTTGTCTGCGTCTGAAGAAGCTCCCATCATCACTGGGGTGATCAGCTTGAGAACCCCTGAGTTGAACTCAAACTGCTTTTGCAGATTTGCTTTCGTGAACGTAGGCGCCTACGAGGAAGAAGTGACCGAGGCTGTGGGAACGTAACTGTCTCCGTAGGTGCCGAGACCGGTGGCTGTACTGGGGCTACACGAGTTGGCCTGATTCTAGCTAGTAGAGCGATAATCCGCAAGCGAGAGCACCACGCCTTTGGGCATTGTTTCTCCTTCAGCGACTGCCGGAATGTCTAGGGGCGGCCCTTTT